CTTGATGGCTTGCCTGATTTTCGGTTCGAAACCATCCCCGATGGCCTTCCGGACTCAGATGAAGTTGCAACGCAAGATGTCACTTTGCTTGCTGAGGCCGTTGTAAAAGATGGTTTCTTGGCTCCGTTTCGTAACCTCCTCATAAAACTTCAAGGACGCAGCAACTTCCAATAATAATCCTCCAGTGACTTGCATTGTTTCCGATGGTTTCATGTCGCCGTTCGCAATCAAAGCTGCCGAAGAATTTGGACTCCCTATTGCACTCTTCTTCACTATTGCTGCATGCAGCTTCATGGGATTTAAACAATTTCGCGCTTTGGTCGAAAAAGGACTTGCACCACTCAAGGGTGAGATTAATTCAAATTTACAGTTTCAGTTTGTCATTCTGTTCTCATAATTTATTTATTTTACGATTTCAAAACACTCACAAAAAGAAGTGCAGAATGAAGAAATGAAAATGAGAATAGCATCGTACCTTATATATGATCGATAGTGTAACTGCTTTTTTTTAAACCTACCTCAAATGGATATTTTCCCCATTTAGCTAATTATTAATTGGTTGTATATGTAGATGAGAGCTGGTTAACGAATGGATTTTTGGACTGAACTGAATGCCTCCAATGGCTGAACTCCAAGGCACCAAACTCAGTTGTTTATGTGAACTTTGGGAGCATAACGGTCATGACAGCTTAACTTGAGCATGGTGGTAACAGATGAAGTTCATAAAGCTGCAGCACTTGTTCTTCTTACATTTGATACTTTGGAAAAAGAAGTTCTGAGTGCACTCTCATCCATGCCTAATATTCCACCTGTTTATACCATTGGCCCTATCGAATTACTTCTCAATCAGATACCAAAAGACCCTTTGAAGAACTCTGTTGGGTACAGTCTATGGAAAGAAGAAACTGAATGCCTCCAATGGCTGAACTCCAAGGCACCAAACTCAGTTGTTTATGTGAACTTTGGGAGCATAACGGTCATGACACCAAATCAACTTGTTGAGTTTGGTTGGGGACTCGCAAATAGCAAGCTTCCTTTCTTCTGGGTAATTAGGCCAGATTTGGTTGTTGGTGATCAGCGATTTTGCCACCAGAGTTTGTAGCTGAAACAAAAGAAAGAGGTCTAGTAGCAAGTTGGTGCCCACAAGAGCAAGTCCTTAACCACACATCAGTCGGAGGGTTTCTGACGCACAGCGG